GAGCTGGCAGCACGCCAAGGTGACAAAGAAGGACAGTGACATCCTGGCTGCTTTCTGCAATAGCGTGGCAGGCAGGACCAGGGCAGCAATCATCGTTCTGAGCACTGCGCTTTAAATACTGGGTTTGGTTTTGGGCCCCTCACGACAAGACAGACATTGAAGTGCTGGAGCGAGTCCAGAGAAGGGTAAAAAAGCTGCTGAAGGGTCTGGAGCACAAGTCCTGTGAGCAGCAGCTAAGGGAGCCAGGGGTGTTTAGTCTGGAGCAAAGGAGGCTCGGGGGGACCTCATTGCTCTCTACAATTACTTGAAAGGACTTGTAGCCGCATGGGTGTTACTTCTCCAAAGTAACAAGCAACAGAATGAGAGGAAATTTAGACTGGATATAAGAAAAAACTCTTCACCAAAAAGGTTGTCAAACACTGGAACAGGAACAGGCTGCCCAGGGAACTAGTTCATTCACCATTCCTGGAGGTATTTAAAAGGCATGGATGTGACACTGGTTTAGTGGTGAACCTGTCATTCTTAGAGTTAACAGTTAAACTTTATCCCAAAGCTCTCTTCCAACCTAAAAGATTCTATATTTCTATGCATGTGAGTTTCTTTGAAAATAAAAACTAACTAGCTATCATGTTTTAATAAAATAAGAGTGAAAGCAAACACTGAATTTAAGAACTGACAAAACACAAACACATTTGGCTTTCCCACCACAGATTCCACCCACATTAGATGTCAGCCACCATTTGTGCAAACAAATACCTCTCACAGGGTGTTCTGAAAAGTGGCTGGGAGCATGGTATGCACGTATGCCTGAACTGTTTACTGTCATTGGAGAATCTACTATGTCCTACTTTATATTTAGAACAAATTAGGGCAATATTTAGAACTATCACACACCTAGTTTTCCTTGAATGAATTCTCTTCCTTCATGTAGAGATTGTCTCTTGCTGAATCCTTAGAGTTTGAGAGATTTGTAAAGACTGGCAGGGCTTTTAAGACCCTCAAATGTTTGGAGAAGGGGCAGAGAGAACCCCAGCTTCAGTGCAGGTCACCTCTCTTGTGCCGAGTGGGGGTACAACAACCCCAGGGACCACAAGCTCTCAGTCTCCTCAGATTGGTCCTTTGGTAGACTGCAGGTGTGACAGTATTGCCATAAGGAATACAAGGGCAGTGGTACTCTTTGGTTTTACCTGCAAAGCCTGTGGACACTCAGAATTAGCCAGTAGCACTCTGCTTCACATCTGCTTCATGCTGGCTAACAAATTATGGGGGCACTTTCAAACCTCCCCTAAAGCATACTCCTTAGAATTGCACTGAGAAACATCTAACTAAACATGCAGGTAAAAAAGTACTCTAAATGTCCCTCACAGTATAAGATTGGAAAATCACCTAAATTGGAAAAGCTATGTTTGGCCTAACTTGCACACCAAAAAATACAGCTTTATTTGGACCTCTGAGGTGACACAGTTCAGTGTTCACTCTACTACAGAGCCTTCAGACTGCATCATGTAAACTGAGACGGTTTTGAGAAAGAATTGGTGATTTGAACAGTCTAGAACATTTATAAAAATGTCATTATAATCCCTGGGTTTAGTGATGGAGAATCTATTTTACTGCCACTTAAAATTTACGATTTCATAAAAACATTGGCATTTCAAGAATTGTTTTTCTCTAACATTTTAAGCAATTTTGATCTTTCATTATTAGGGAAAATAGCAGTACACCTAATATTGTGGTCCAAAACATATAGGCAATTTCTTTTTTTCCTCTCCAAAGTGCATTTCTTAAGACAGGCAGGAGGTCCTGTCATGGAGATATAGCTTAGAACTGTCTGCTACACTGATCTTAGTAGTGGCAATAAGTGTTGTAAATGAAGATATCTTTTCAGTTCCAGAAGCCTGGTATTCACAGCAATAGTGAAGAAGGGTCTCTTACATAATGTGGAAAAAATATTGTGAGTTTCAGGAAAATTTGAATAACACAATAAGAAAGAACTGTTCATCCTATTCAGAGAAAAAGGCAGAGACCATCTGTTAAACTGGTGCTAGGTTGTCACTAAAGAGAGTTTCAATGTCTGTGAAGACCCACACAAAATTCACTCTGGAAAATAGGTCTAATTCTGGCACAACTAAAGTTTCAGGTAAACACATTTGTAATCTCAGCTATGTCCATGTAACAGTGTTCTCATACGTTGTTTCCTGAGCTTCTAAATAATGAACTCATCTGTCACAGTGTCAGCTCCTGACCATGGTCTTAGCACATCTCATCCCACCAAACACCATCTCAGCCCTTCACATCAATGCTGCCAGGTCCACCTTCCTTACTCAGGGAGTCCCAGTCCCCCTTTGCAAAATCCAGTGGTTTAAGGGCAGAGGAGAAGTAGGAGGGTCTGAGGATATTGTTTGATTATGTGACCAGGGCAGCTGAGGCTGGCAGCAGTTGGCTCTGGTTCAGGTACAGCTGTTAATGTTGTAATGATTTCCTGTGCTATGCACAGCCACTTCCTCCCAGCCCAGGACCCCCAGCACAGGCTGGGGGCAGACACACTCAGAAGCTGTCACATCCTCCCCCAGGTCAAACAATTGCTCTTCTCCTTCATGAAAAACCAAGGCTATTCTCCACATTGATTCCAGCTGCAGGCCACCACTAGGGCACATTGACAGAGCTACACTCCATTTGTCATGACAAAGCACATACACTAATTAAATCAAGATTAACAAAGCATAGTATGGAACCTTTTTTTCCCCTGCAAAATCTCTGCAAGCTTTTTAGGTTAATTTATATAACAAATATCTAGCTTCATTCACTACCTTAGAAATCAGGACAGACATGACATTGTCATTATTATTTACTGTTGTTATCAATGTTTTCTTTTACACTTAAAATGCAGAATTATTTAAGTGAAAGTTATAAGTTTTGTAAGATTATTATGACAGAGAATCTAGAATTGTACAGCATGTTTTAAACTCCCATCTGAAGGGAGCAGAAGGCCCAATATGTAGACCAGACCCACTTCATGGCAAAGACTGGTGCATCCCTGACACTCAGCTGTGAAGGGAAAGGTTCCTATCCTAGAAAGGCCCTCAACCATTATGGATTTTTCAGTTAGGCAGCAAACTGGCAATAAAAAGTCCAAGGGCAATCAAAGAGAGACATCAGGGCTTTAGAATAATGGCTTAGGGAATCAGGAGTATAAATGAGCTTCTTCTCTATTCTCCCAGTTGCAGGAAATGAGGAGGGAAGAGAGGGCGATCCAGCAGATCAATACTTGACTCTGACCCTGGTGTCACCAGCAGAATTTTGCGGGTTTTTGATCATGTTTACAGTTTACATGACACCAGGCCTGCTGATGACAAATGGGGGTCACCTGTCTCAAAAGGAGAAAAGGATTTTTCTCAGGCATTATCAGGGCTCATGGAGCGAGCTTTAAACTGGCTCTGAAGGGGAAACCAGACTTGTAACAGATAAATGAGGCAGCAGCATTCCAGAGTCTGAGAGACATTGTGCTAGTGGGGTCCTTCATTCTGCTGTCTCCATGGAGGTAGGGGATAGAGAGCTATGCAGCAGCAGACAAGGGTTACTGATGTGTTAGAAGCCATGGAAGTGCCAAATTAGTTGTAATCAATAATCTTGCAGACCTTTTCCAACCTAAAAGATTCTATGCTTTTATAATCCTAAATGTATATGTGTACAAAAAAAATACATCGTTTGTATACTACTTTGTATACTACATTTCCTACACTGAATTGCCTTAAATAAACATTTTGTTACTACTTCGCTTGTATTGATTGGTTCTATTTTCCTCAAGGTCGATTCTAAGAACAAAATCATGAGCAGCATAAAGTTGGTGTAAATTATTTCTACTCACTGGGAAGACTAAGGGGGTCAAGGTTTCAGCCCAGTTTTTTCACATAAGTACATGCAACTGTCTACTTTGACCTTTCCTTCCATTCTACACTATTTTTCTCCTTACTTATCAGACCATGGTTGTGGATATCGATATATGAAAATTCAGATTATTTTACTTACAAGTTAAATACTTGCTTCAGAACCATTTTGATAGCAATATTAATAATAATAAATAGTAGTAAATTTTCTGTTCCCAATCCACAACAGCAGATGACCATTCAGAAGAAGCAATAAAGGTTCACTGGTATAAGAATAATAACCCAAAAAAACTTAGAACAACATACATGAAGGTAAGTGAATAATATTCATTTGATTGAGTTTAAATTCATGGCCCCCAATACTTCCATATTTACATTATAAATTATCTTTTTATAGGCCAGGAAGTAATTTCAATCAATCTTAGTTTTCTTTCTGACGTTGGAGTAACTCCAAAATTATTTCTAAAAAACGCTAAAACCAAAAAATCATCATAGCACCACAAGAAAAAGAAACCTCCATTGATTTAAACCGCATCAGTCATTTAAAATTAGTCACACTCAAAACTTCAGTGGGTTAACTTTATACACACAGGTCTTTTTGCAGATCAGATATTCTTTAACCTGCAGCAGACAGCATGAAACTGGCATAAGGTCTGCATCATGTGCTCCAGTTAATTCAACAAAAACGCGATCATGCACCCACACTTGTTCCAGATCAAATATGCACTCATTGTGATCCAGGAGCACAAAAATCTGGTATTAATGGACATGAAACCATGGCCTTATATGACAGCACAGCTTTAGATACTTTGCATATTTCATTGACAGGTTTATCAGTAGGCATGTTTTTTCCTTTAACTTATCCAAATATTTATAGGAGCTGTGATGTTGTTTTCCATGTAAATCATTAAATAATTATATTACATAATTTATGTAAATGAAACATAAAATCAGAAAAAAACCCAAAATAATTCCCATTACAACAAAGTTGAGTCATCTGTGAAGGGCTGTAGGTGTGTGGTTGCAATCAATTTAAATAGCCGAAATAAATGTCCAAAGTAATGGAAACAAAATCAAATCTATATATTGAAACTATAAAAAAATGAGAAATCTTACCTTTTTCACTAACACTTTCACTTTCAATCTCTACATCATCACAACTTGTATATTCTGGAGTGGATGCCAATTCTTCTTCTGAGCTACTTAATGAAACCTGGCGCATTTTACCTCCTTTTTTCGTTTTATGGGGCTTTGGTGGTGGAGGTCTGACAGATTCAGACTGATCTGAGCTGAGGGAATCATTCCGTAACATGGTCTCCATCTTTTCACGTTTTGTTTTCCGGACAGCAGAACTGGGATCCAAATGGTGCTGTTTCCTTAAAGAATCAGAGCGCCTCATGTCTGGTCTTTCCAGGGGAATTGGACTCCTCCTAGGTGTAGGAGGGCTATGATTTGTGGTCCTCTGACGATTGGGACTTGGTCCCTGAGCCTCTCGAGTTCTTTCCATAGAGTATGAACGTTGATTTTCCATGGCAGCCCTGCGCTCAGACACTGATCTTTGTCTTGATGGCCGTTCCATCCTGAGCATGGACATCCGAGAATCCTCCAACTCTGTATTTGCCAGTGAGACATCGCTGTGTCTCCGCTCATGACGTGCTCGGGACACTTCAGCATGGATACGCATTTGTTCCTCATACGGCTGTGGTTTGACTGGATAACGAGCCAAATTAGGATCACTTCGATATCGTGCCTGGTATTCCTCTTCTCTCCTTTGCCTTTCATATTCTTCCCTGCTTTGTGCATCTTCTTCTTCTACCGAATACTCCTTGGAACGCCTGCGGCTCCTTCTGTTGGAATCCCTATAATCACCCAGTTCAGGTTCTTCGTATAACTGAGGCCCACGCTGTGACCGCCTATCTGAATAATCTGATGGTGACCTGGGCATCGCACTGTCTGATGTAGCATACTGTGAATATTCGTCTCTCTCGTCCCTCTGGTCGTATCTTCTGCTCTGTTCTCTTGATATTGAAGGGCTTCTTTTCCTAATCATGGCAAGGAAGCAGAAAGAGAGTTCTGTCAATATTTTATGTAGAACAAATATACAGTTAATGCTAGTTAAAAGATAAAATGACCAGCTGAAGGAAAAAAAAAATCCATCCATTGTGTTTCTTTGTGAATATGCTCTCACATTTTCTGTACTAAATTAAAGAAATCATGTCATGCTACAAATCTGCTTATGGTGCATAGCTTGAATAAAAAACAGCTTTGAAAGACAAATGCTAATATGACTTTATAAAATATAGAATACAAATATATGGGCTATCTTGTAGTCAAGACTGCTTTACAAGTACCAAAATTCTATAATCCTTTGTAATCATTTTACAACAATATAACTTGATCATATACTTCTATTTCATAGAGTTTTATAATCACCATGAAAATGAGGGCTAGAAGGATCATTCAGTTAGTTTAATCTTTTAGCAGCTGCTATTGCTCAAAAACACACATTTCAGTTCCCACAAAACTATAATTTGTGCCAAGGGCAGAAAACAAAGATTCAATGGCAGCACTTGTTTAAATCAGATGAACTTAGAAGTCCTGAACTCAGAAAACAAACCACTTTTTGTGTTGTGAAGGGAAAGAGTTTCAAAGTGCTGCCTGAGTTGAGAAAAGACTCCTTCTCATCTCTACAGGGGTGGTAGCAGTATTAGTCCAAGCATTTGAGCACGACAAATACCAGAATGAAGTTCCTGCGCAAATAAAGCATTGACTCTTTGGCATCATTGACACCATCTAGCTATAGACAACTACTGAGGCTTCAGAGGAAAGTGGAAAAAGAATTAACAAATATTCTTTCCTGACTCTGACAAATGATAGATTGAGGAATGTAATTCATATATATGTAATATTTTCATAAAGGGTGTGTCTGGAACATATAATAAATGCTGTTTTCTATTTGACACAACATTGTTTGCTACGTGATTAGAAGTGAGCAGTTGAATAGGAAAATAACAAACTGGATCTTCAAATTTTGCCTTTATCATTCCTTACAGGGTAATAAGCATGTAAAATACTACTTTCCAGACATGTCCTGCTTCATGCTCGGCTTTTCACCCTATAAGAAGGTACCTGCAGGAAACTGGAGCAAAGATGTCAGATAAAGAGACTGAGAGGTGGACCTTCTCTGAGATAATGTAGATCAGCTCAAACTTTAAGTGATAAAAATACAAAGAAGAAACTATTTTTGTGTTGTTTGTCCTTTCTTTTTATATTTAGTTCTACTTTTATAATTCAGATCCTTTTTAAAATGTTTTCTACACTCACAAAAAATGACTGCTGATTCTGGAGGGCAGCCTTGCAGGTAGCAACCAGGAGGTCCTGCATAGTGTTTAGAAGGACATGAAAAAAGGTGAGCAAATACAAAGCCCTGTTGTTGTCACCGTTGTCCAAGAAGAAACACTTCAACTCAGTGAAGGGGAGGAGAAAGAGGTTCTCCTGGTGCCCAGGAAAGTATAAAGGGCTCTGTCTATCTTATAGGAGAGAAAACATTCTTTTCACGGCCAGGAAGGAAATACAGTCTCTGCTCAGCAAGGGAAAACCACAATTGCCAGTGCAGAGTGTGTGTGGTATGTGGGGCAAACTGGCTTCTTTTACTGTTTTAGGTACCATACAGAATTATTAAACTGTGCTTGAAAGATTTGGACCCAGTATTTCCTTGCAAATAGTAAAGTACTTTAGCTTTGCAATGGCATCTACAAATGAGAAAACTAACACAATCTTGCAAAAATTAAACTTCATGTGAAGCATGACAAGTTCTATAAGCGATAGTTCGACAAGTTCTATAAGTTCTATAAGTTCTATCTGCTACTGAAGACTCAACTTGAATTGCTCTAATGTGACATGGACCGAGTTTCATAAGGCTAAAACCAGAATGGCCAATTAGAACAACAGAACTACCCAAATGCAGGCAGTTTGAAAAGACACAGAATCTTCATCAAGACAACAGAGATTAGATGCAGAAGTGCTTTAAGGAAGATAGATATTTTTCACTTCAGATGATGAAAATTATGCCGCATCCCAAAATAAGTTGCTCCAATAGCAAATTATCCAATCCCTGAAAATTTCTGCCATGGCTGCAGCAAAAGTGTGCATAACTTCCCCTTCCCAGTTGTGTCTCCTATATAGGAAAAATCTGCTCTCGTCAGATATAGGCATTCATGTGAATCTTGTTGTAAGATTGAGACAAATACATGTACACATGAAATGTACACATACTGTACCATGAATACTCACACTGTGTATACTCAGTCTATATAACCTATAGATATGTGTATTCAGAGCCACAGTTTCTCCATCAATTTGATCCTGCAAAGCATTAAAACACTCTAGTACATATGATTTATAGGATCAACTCTGTGATGAATGGTGTAACACAGAAAGCCATACAGGTGCTAGTTTGACAAATCTCATGTGTGCCTTGGAGCAGTCTGAGTGTACACATGCTTCAGTATTAAACATCTACAGCAATACAAGCAACACAACAGTAAGAATGTTTAGCAGCAAATGGAAGATTATATAAACAAACTCAAAATGTGTGTGTGCATATATACATATAAATAAATTAATATATCACTCCATGTCACAGTGTCCTTATATAGATGCAATCCTCTTCTGATGACATTATGGCTATAATGTCATGGGAGGAAGGCTGAAGGGGATAAAAAAGATGGATTTCTATATAAGTAAAAACATTACTGTAGATTTGTTGCTGAGGAAAATGTATTTCTATTAAGGAAACACATCATCAGATGAACTGGCACATGAGTTACTAAAAAATACACCTATTTTTTCTAGCATGAACTAGGTTAATGAGAGGAGGATATGTTGATTTAGCATCATATTTTTATACCACTTGCACAAACATTTTCTGAGCTTGTGTGCTACATTTACTACAGTCACTTTCCTTCCTCCTTAAGACATAAATATAGGAAACCATCTATGGCTGACAGGAATGTGAAGAGCAGCTGGGTTCTCAATCTACTCCAACTTTTCATGAAGGAAAAAGCTTTGCACGGCTGTCCTGCATGTGGCAATGACTAGAGCACAGGCAAGACAGAGGACCTACCTGAAAATATAGAGCTTTTCTTCAGTAAAGCAGTCTATAGAAAAAAATAATTAATTTAATTCTGGCCTGTGTTGACTGACATTATCAAACCCCCTTTCTAATTAATTTCATTCCTTTTGAAGTCATCCAACTTCACTACTGAAGTTGTAGTCGTGTCCATCAGAAATGAATTATCTGTGCCTGTACACCTGATCAGTCAGAAACCTTTTGTCAGGAGAGGGCTCATCCTGCCCCACAGTCACCAGACCCTTAGTATCAAAGTCTGTCATTCTCTTTACTGGTAATCATAGCACAATTATCTCCCCTTTAATATTCAACAACTTTTTAACTTTAAAAATACCTTAAAATGTACAGAGTTGTACAATGAATGCCATATGTTTTAAACTGGAGTTATGAAATCATAGTAGGAGGGAACTAGTATTGATGATAACTTACGGCCTGTCCCTACTATTAAAAATCTGCTGCTATTTTTAGATCACAAGCTAATTCTCACTCACCTTCATGAGCATCTGTCTAATCCATTTCTAACCATTAACTACCTTAAAGATACCTTAATAAAACCCTTTCATCAAGTACTGCCAGCTGGATATACCATGGAAAATGACCACTCCTGCCTTTCTAGGTCTTCCCTGGAACTTTCAAAGCTAAGGGTGTGCTATGAACCCTCCAGCTGCCAGCTGAACTAAGCACTATATATCTCTTGTCAGAAGGATTACCATCTTTTCTGAAAAGGTTATCACACCTTTTCTGAAAAACCCTCCAGGCTATTGTGATTGCTACTTGTTTGAAACAACCATAAAATAAAATCTCTCTTACGGTTAAAAACTCTAAACATGAAAAAATATCTCTGTCAGTCACATTATAGAAATTAGGTTTTTTTCAGATACAGAATACGAAACATATTTTTTTCCTACTTATTACTGCCTATTTTTTTTTTTATTGTAATTTATCAATACATGACGTTTGGTCTTTTAATACACAATTCAAAACCCTACACTGATGGAAACCTTCTTTTCAGTGCACTAAAGGTATCATTAATATTATGGAAAAGCAAATAGCATGACTGTAATCTGTACTCCTGCTCATAAAGTTAAATTATTCAACTCCCTCACATCACAATAGAATTAAGTACTTAAAATATAACATAGAAGAAGACATCTATTCAGTTTTGATGGCTGTGATTTCTATAATGGAACTAAATATCTTGAAAGTCTGTGACATTCATTTGTATTCTTTCTTAAAGAGAAAACACTCTTCTGCTTTGATTTAGGTTTTTAGAAAATTGCCCCAAATGTACTGCAGAAAAAGAAATTTAAAAAATTAAGTATCCATCACATTTCAGAAGTCAGAGACATTTAAACACACTGTAATATGTAAAGTAATTATATCACTGTCAAAACTAGACATCAGACACTCCTGCTAATAAACTTTTACTCAGACTAATAGAATACACATTTGAACTGGAGAAAGCTTTCATAAAAATATCATTCTAAAGTTGTGTTTGACTACCTGAATCAAGTTACATTTACTTGAAGAGTATTGTTTATCAGAAGCTTTGGGTAAATTAAAAAATGGTAATTTAGGTCAATTAAATAATGGTCTCAGTGGGCCTGATATCAGCAACTTGAAAAGAGAATATTGGCCATCTACTTGTAAGACCTAATTATAATTTACTAGACAATTCTTTAAAATTTTTTCTCTTTTTCCTATAAATTATCAAAGAATAAAGTTGAATGGAAAATTAAAACTGAAAATATCTTGCCTGCACATGCTGTAATTTTGCTTAACTCAAAATGTAATCCTTTCAATATATGAAAAAAAAAAAATTCAGAGAAGGCAAAAATTGACATTTTCTACCAGAACTTTGTCACAAAAGCCATGCAAGATACAGGGCTTCTTGTTAGAGACCTCATCAAA